TTTATATACATATATATATATATATATATATATATATATATATATATATATATATATATATATATATATATATATATATATATATATATATATATATATATATATATATATATATATATATATACTCCTAATAAAAATTAAACAGCTATATTGAATGTAGTCAAGAGAATCCACATTGGTAAATAACAAAAATGCTACATTATGCAGTTACTCCATGTTTACTGGTATCTAGCATTAGCTTGTGGTAGTAAGGAGTCAAACAGCTAATGCTATCCTAACTGAAAAACCTTCTCTCTATTGTGGATTCCTGTAGAGTAAATCAATCCTCAGTTAACATCTATGTAGCTATAGTTTGCATAGTTGTCTGTAAAGAATGCTGCTTTTTTTAGACTCTTCTACAACCCAATAAAATGGGTCAGAGACTTTAACCAAAGGTTTGGTGAAAACTACTCAACTTCTGTCTTTAAAGTATAAACTGTATATGCATTTTACAAATAAACCAGCAGCTTTTTGAGAAAATGTTAAAGTTAAACCACCACACAATGAGTCAGACTCTCTTTACAGCTTTCAGAATTAAGTTTGTTTTATTCTATACAGAACCTTTCGAAAACCAATATTTTTTTTACACATTTTTACCTATCGGCTATGTTACTTTGGGACGATAGCTCAGCACAAATTAAAAATTATTAATTCAGTGTCTGACCTTCGGTAAAAAAAAAAAATGTGAATAGGAAATGTCCATTTTCATGTTTTTCGCATCAGTGGAGCTATCAGGAGGAGTGTTTTTTTATTATTAGTGTTGTCGTATAATCTAGATAATCTTTATGAAAAAGGCAGGATTGATTAAGCTAAATTCTGAATAAATGTTATAGTTTTTAACCTCTTAAAACCCACCGGGTCGCTGGTGACCTGGTGGACCTTAAGTGGGGGTAATAACTCAGAATACATAAAATTCGCGCTATTGCGCACAGCTCCAAGCTGACACCAAAAGTTCAAAGCCCCACAGCTCTGGAACTGTTATAGCTAGAGGTCTGAAATTCTTTGCATTTGTGGTTGACATGATGTAGAAAAAATATAATGCAATAACACCTAGTTTAGATTTTAAACTAGGATCTGTCTTTATATTTCAGTAGTTGTGAATTGTAGCTAAATAAAGGAGTAGGACTGTGTTAATCTTGTCAGCTTAAAGATTGTAAGTCAGAAAACTTGAGGCCAATCCTTAATAATAAATCTACACTATTGTAGGGTCTGGTAAATATTTAGCCAAATACAGATAGAAACAAAATGTATGGTATAGGATATTTTTGTGTAACATAAATATCTTGTTAAATTAAAACAGGTGAAAGCATATTGAAGGCAATTTTTGAAGCATTACCTGACCGTGTTGAAAATTCCAGTGGATCAAGTGGTAAGAATTTTACAATCCCATATTTTAATGTGTTAGAATTTACCTGCTATGTTGATATTTAGTTTATTATTGTGTTCATTTTTATTATTCTTCTATCGTTCTTACAGTCAAAGTCTTTTTTCTTGTTTGGTTTTTTTTTTAATTTTACCTAATTCTAAAGATTTTGTTATAATACAAAAATCAATAGGAAATAGTTTTTAAGCCTTCCCAGTGGGCAAAAGATGTCAATTAAACATCAATTTGACATCAAACACCGATATCAAATTGTTATCAAAATTTGGTCAAAAAACGTAAATCAAATTGACATCAGTCCTTTGACATCAATTTGATGTATGGGATATTGAGATGTATGGGATAAAAAAAAAAGTTCCTTGAGAAGGAAATGGCCTAAACAAACCCAATTCTGTTTGAAATACAAGACAGCTGTATTGCAGTTCTGCAGTGTTTCATGCATGGCCTTTAAAATAGCAATTCTGTAAAGTATATTGTCAATAGTTCTAATATTAATCATTTTTGGATCATCTAAACTAAGTTGATGTTCTACAATTGCTATTTTTTCGGGTTGCAAAAAAAACCAACATTTTTATAAAAAATAAAATAAAATAATTGGTAATTCAAAAATGTTTTTTGAAATATAATGCATTTCCCCACTTTTGGTGGTCAAATGGTGCATGTATTTTCAGCATGAATAACACAACCAAGATTTTAATAGCTTCATGCTTGTTGCAAGT